TGGCTACTTACAGATTATGTGACATTTATTGTTCACGCTTAAATCTTGAAAATTGCAATTTAGCGGCCGTCCTTTGTGTGGGCGGTCGATGGGTGGCTGGTGGGTGGTTGGTGGGTGGTAGTGGGTGGTAGTGGGTGGTCGTGCTTCGTCGGTGGGGGTGGCTTATCAGCTAGCCCCAAGGACAGAATTATGTCCTTGTCGCCATCGTCTTTGTCGCGTTTATTTTCTTTCCGCCTTTGCCCTTAGATTTTCCACTTTTCTTTTTTCCTTTTTTTTTATATAATTTTTTTTTTCAAGATTTTCCTGCTGATGTTGACGGTGCCGCCGCACAGTTGTCTCGAGTTTCCGTTTTAATAAACGTCGATTCCGGCTTCCTGTTTGGCAGCCCTGCGTATATATCTCAAGACCCCGGCGTTTCGTCAACCGAACAACTGAACAACCGAACAACCAACCCCGCCAATGGAAAGTCGTAATTGCAGGCAGCGTCTGTGGGGCTCTGTCTCGTTTTCCTCGTCTCCGGGCTGCGTCTTCATTTATTGCCAATATAATTTCTGACTTGGCTGGAAATTTAATTTCCTTCTTTGGCATGTGAGAAAGTTTTTCCATCGCCATTTCGCCCGGCGGCCATGTAACATAAATCCAAAAATCCAGCAATCCACCATCGCCTTCGGGCAACATGGAAAAACGGATGTCAACACAGTCAAGAAGTAGCGCCAGAAAAGGGTTACAATTTATGATTATTAAACTGAAACCGAGTGAAACTGAATCGCGTCTCACTCTCATTATTTTTTTTAAAAAGGCCTCCCCGCAGATGAAAAACTGCCTCGGGGAAAGTGGATAAAGCCAAAAAGACAATAGTCGGTAATAAACATAATAAAGATAGAAAGGCAAGAGGAACAATAAAATATTCTTATCAAAAATGAAGAATATCAACAATACATTTTAATGATATAAAAAATATAAAAAGAAAGGAAGCTGTATCAGTAACGATTAGTCAATACACATATTTTTTTAAGTTTCTTCAACAGCTATAAGAAATTGATAGAGAATTGAAATCGCCAACCGATTAGTAAACTTAGGAACTATTAGGAAGTGAAGATCAAATTTCTACAATTCATCGTAATATTTTAAATATCTCACATAAATGTTGGTCATAAAATATATAAAATATATATAATATTGAAACTTATTAGATAATTTAACTATAAATGATATAGGAAGTGCGGTTTTGTGACAACTTTCAAAACTATGAAATTTTTACGAAATGACTCAATAAATATATATTAAAGATTTAAAAATTGAATTGCAATCTTTCAAAGCTAAATCAAAAGACGATGGGTAAAAATTTAAGCATTTTGGCAGCTTTAAAACCAAGTGACAGTGGCAACATCAACAAACAACAAAGTGTCTGGAAGCAGTCTTAACTTGGCCAAGTCAAAAGAAAAGGGAAGCCGGCTCCACGTTTTGTCTTTTTGCTATAAAATAAACATATGAATATTTATGGCTGCAAGGAGCTATCCTAGTATATCCTTTGGGGAGTCGAAAGTGGGGTTTATGCAAATAAAGTGCTGAGAAAAAGAGAGACTTTCGACTGGACAGGAGATGCTGTAACAAAAATGGAATGCCAAGATGTATTTTTCTGAGGCTTACGGAAAAGTTATAAGCGTGTGTGTGTGTGTGTAGTAGAGAAAGTAGAGGAAGGGGCCGATATTTGATCCACTGGAAATCCTCAATGAAGCCCGGCCATTAAGCAAATTCACTGGCATTAGGCAAAGTGTTGAAATTATGATCTGTTAAGTGTCTAAATACGAGCACTCGCCGTTTTTGGGTTGGGCGTGTCCTTTGAGTTCTTGAGGGGGAAGGGTTCCCTCGGGGTTGTTTCGCATCCTGCTGTATTTAAAATGTCATTTTGTTGTCAACCTCAGACTTCTTGTCTTATGTCAAATTATAATTATGGCGCCATGCTACTAACGACATTAACACAGCACAAGGCAAAAGGCAGCCAGCAGGAGCAGCCATTAAATTGCCTAAGCATACGAACCCTTGTCGGTGTCCTTGTCCTTGCCGTCCTGCCCACCCACCACCCACCACCCACCATCCTTTGCCGCCCCCTTTTTTTGGGGAGGTGGTCCTGCCTTCATTATCAGCATCGAAAGTTAAAATGCAGGCAAAGGCTTTGGCTTCTGCCCTGCCAGCAAATGAAACATTTTTGTTGTGTAAGGTTAAACGTTTCAAAAACTTTGTTTTAAAATCACTTAGCGCCCGGAACACACGCACACTCGCGTTCACATAAATGAGCCACTGTGGAATAATACTTTTTGTATTATAAAGTATTATAAAAATATGTTGCGTTTAATTGTAATTTGTACAGATATTCATTGCGGCGATTAATAAAATATTCTTTGCTTAAAAGAGTGTTATACAAAGTATAGATTTTACTGGTAAATTTAATTTGTTATAATAAAATATTAAAATAAAAACGAATTGCAATCTATAGAACATTTTTCATTATGAAATTTAAATAACTCAAGTTTTAAAATCAAATATTAGTGTTGGCTTTTCAATTCAAGTTTTATTGTGTCCACTGTGTCCCCCAAGCCCATACATATGTCGCCGTTGGGCCCTGGTTAAAAGGGTGCAGACTTTGTCCACATCGCCACCGAGCAGCTCCCCCCATGCCCTCCCCCTCCCATTCCTATTTTCCCAGCCCTTTTTCCGCATTTTCCAACTCCTTTTCCGTCGTCGCTGTCGTCGCCTTTTGCAAAGTGGTGATAATTTCTGCTTTGTTGCGAAAATGACAACATTTTAACCCGGCACACACACACAGTGTCACCCACTGGCTTTTCCACTCCAAGCCCCCCTTTCACCACCCTTCCACCCATAATTTTCCACACCCCCTCCCACCAGAATTTCCACTTGCAATGGACGCGACTTGTGTCGACTTTTAATGGTTTTTCATCTTATTAGCAGGCAAAAGTTCTTTGTCGCCGTTGTTGTGGATGCCACGCCCAAAAATGGAGATGGGGGCGGGTGCAAAATGGCTAACAGCTCCAGATTTATTTGCAATTTTTGCTCATTTGGCAAAACACAAAAGCGAGTAGAGACAAAAAAAAAAAAAAAAGGAAAACAAAAATAGACGACGCTAAAGTCTTTTGTCTTTAGCCACTTTGCGAGCCTTCTCTGGTTACTCCTTCTTGTTGACTTGTGAAAACCTCCTCATCCCAGATTCACCCCAGTATCACCACCCCCAGACCGCCCACTCCCCCCCCCCACGCTTTTCCAGCTTGTTGCTCTGCTCTGCTGTTACTGAGGGCGCATAATTAAAAAAGTTTCATTTCATTTTGTTGGGTTTCTTGGTTCGTTTCGCCTGTGTTTATGTTCATTTGTTTTCTTGCGTGGGTTTCTGGGGTTTTCCCCCACTTTTCCTCTTCCTCTTCCACTTCTTTACTTTTCCATTGCAGCCGTTACGGCTAAGGAAAATTCAGACATCGTCAGTTTGTTTGCTGCCCTTTGTCTTAATGATTACCGCCTTCTTGCGTTTTTTGCATGCTTCGTTTAATTTAATATTAATCTAAGAAGTTTGTTTGTTTTTTATGTGTTCTTATTTGGGCGTAGACCAGAAAGCTGCAAATGACTCGGAATTATATGCTGGGTTGGGGGTATTTAAATGGATTATGAGGGCATATGACCAGGCCAAATTTACATACACAAGTTACACACACTTTTCGTTAGCAGATCATAAAGTCTTATTGCTAAATTTTGTGTGTATAAATGTTAAAATAGTATTTCTAACATTTTTCAAGGGAATAGGTTATTAAATATGTATTATTTTAAGTTCTTAAATAGTTGCATTGCTTGTTTTCTTTCTTTTCTATTAAATAGGATTTCTTTCTTATAAAAAAACCAAATTCTCACAAAGTTTTAGTCTGAAAGATCTTATGGCAAAACCCCCCTTTTAAAAACTTAGAAATCCCCCTCTGAGTTTTACACCTTTTGTTGATTAACTCAAGCATTTTGGCATTCAAAATGTTTGGCAAATGAATTTTATATTCGCGCGTCTGGGAGTTTCACTTTATGGATATTTCAAATATGCAGCGCACCGTTTAAGGGGTGGCTTTTTGTCGGGCTGTAGAGGGTTAAGAAGGGCATGGGATTCGGGATATGGGATTCGCGATCTGGGATATGGGATATGGGATATAGAATGTGGGACTCGGACCAGACACCGCCACAATAGTTGGCATGTCAAAGTCGCCGCATGCTACTTAATATTGCATTGGCTGCAAAGGAAGTGCATATAGTTGCCAAACCGATTCACCCCTGAAATAGCCCCTGAAATCCCCGATTACCGGCATCCCCCGCTCATGCATTCATTCATTCATTTATGCGCTCTCGGCAAATCTGCATGTCTGGATGCTGCTGTGTGTTTTTATGAAGCTTTCACAACTCCGTCGGGGGTTAATTTTCGCGAAAAACGTTACCGTTGCCCGCTTTTCCCATTCCCATTCGAAATTCTGCACTTTAATTTCGATGTGCAAGTGCAAAATCCCATTCCTATTTGGCCATGGCAACCCATAGGGTCATAGAAAATCTATAAATTCGCAGCATAATTTGCAGCTGCCGTGGGAGTGCGAAAAAGAGTGGGAGTGATTCCATTGGAATGGTCCCCAAATATTAACATTAAATATTTGAAATGGGATTCAACTTGTTCCTTGGCGATTTCAAAAAGTATTTAGTAAGAAAAAGGCTAATGAAGAGCATTTTAAAATTGTTATTTAATTTTGTAAATGACTTAAGAACAAACAAAATTTTAAAATTATAAAAAAAAAAAAATAAATAAATGAAAAAACCCTTTCCTAAAGTGCTGTTGTCTCTCTTAATTTAAATATATAAATAACTTTAAAAATAGTTTAAGTCTTACAATTTATTTAATGTAGTTTAGTGATTACTTATTAATAGCTATAAAATATTTGAGTATTATTTAAAATCATTTTATTTTTCAGGCAAGAGTTTCACCCTGACAATTGTCATCTCGACGAATCCCATCCAGACAGCCACCTACACGAAGGCCATCAAGGTGACCGTCGATGGGCCAAGGGAACCGCGATCCAAGGTGCGACACCAGGGATTCCATCCGTTCGCCTTCGGGCCACAACGTTTTGGACCGGATCCACTTATGGCCGGATTGCCCTTCAAGTTGCCAGGTAAGCGAATCAGTTGGAGTACGCTGCCTTCCGGGGGAAACTGAAGGCTTAAGCGATAACATCAATGCCATGGCACTGGTAAAAATAAGTTAAGCCAAACGTATGAAATCAGTATTATAATTTTGGGTTTAACTATATCTGTACTTTCAAACTATTTGCTGTATTAAACATTATTTTCCTAGCAAAAGTGTTATCAAAATACTTTCATTGTATTGGTTTTTATTGAAAAAAAAAATTGTTTTGCTTTGAAGGAATTTTAGCTAAATTTGAAACAATAAATAACAAGAATTTCAATTTAAATAAACTCTTCAAAGTCAGAAACTCTAATTTTAAAATGATTGTATTGTTTTTTATCGTTAAAAAGTTTAAAAGAGTTAACCATCCACTTCATTAGGGAAATAATTTTAGACTTGAAAATCAAAACAAAAAGTTGATCTAATACTTAAGTATTTGAGATTACAAATTTTGTAATATACATTTTATGAAGTCAAATTTAAATACATAAAAAATAGTTAGATCCACTTTTTGTTTAGGTTTTCAAGTCTAAAAGTATTTCCTTAAAAAAGTGGATTGTTAAAAAAAATTTGACTAAGATTTAAAGCACATTATCACTTAATTCGTTTGATATTTCCTTTAAAAATTGGATTGTTAAATACAATTGACTAAGATTTAAAGCACATTATCACCTAATTCTTTTGATAGGCATTTTTAGCAGTGTCAGTTGAGTGAGTTGAGCGGAGCTAAACTGGGAACTAAGCGGCTTTTGGGAAATGGCCTCAAGGGCTTGTCGCTCGTTAGACACCGAACCACACGTATCAATGTCAGTCGGGCAGTCGGGGGTTAATGCGGGTGGGCATGGGACAGGGGACAGGGGGCGGTGGGGGGTTAAGGCCAGGTGAGCTTATTGCCTGTCTATTTTGGCCGCGGGCCATACGCGAAATTAGCTGTAAATAAATATACCTTTTATCCAGGGGTTAAACGAACCGAAGCCGAAATCCCGATGCCCGCGGCTTTGGGCCAACAAAAGCCGGAAAATCAGGCGGGGATTGGCTAATGGGTTAATTAGAGATCTTTGCCTATAACCCGATAGGTCGGCGATATACCCCGTCATTATGATAAGAACCCTTTCGGGGGTTTCCATTTCCCACGATGGCCGCGAGCTTCTTTTTTGGGCTCATCGCCAATTGAGTTGGCTTAGTCCTTAATGAGCTGACTTGCGCTTTTTATGGATTCTGGGGTTAAGGGTTATGTCTAAAAAAAATTACATTTACCAAAAGTGAGCAGTTTTATGGTTTTTAGGGGCTGGGGAAGTCAGGTATAGATAAAGAGCTTTTTTCTGTTGTGGCTGACTTGGTTATCTAGCTGAATGGTGATATTCTGAGGTTTATTTAATTTAATATTTCCATTTGATGCTCCTTGAAATAACCAAACCCTTTTTTGTAATATTTCTTCAATCCAGAAAAAAAGAGAATTTAAAATAAATAAACTTAACCTGAACTATTGCAATATTAACTTTACGCAAATTTTAAATAAATGAATTTAAATGATCGAACAACGTATTTTTATCGAAACCGGTTTTATTTTTAAATAATTCGTTGTGGATAAAATATACAAAAATCTGCATGTGTTACTTTCTGGGGAATGCAAAATAAATACAAATTTCCAATTAAATTATCCTTTGGTAAGGCGTTCTTATGGCCTTTTGGGCCACCATTCCCATTCAGTTTCGCTGCAAAAGTTTGCCCAAAGACCCAGAGAAAGCCGCTTCATTAACACCTCAAGCCATTAGCATAAAGATGATGACAAATGAGGCGGGCAAAAGGACGGAGGACGAAGGACGATGGGTGCCTGTCAATGCCACCCTGTTGCCAACTGAATGTGTGCCCTATTTATGAAAACAGAGCGAGACACAATGGAGGCGACAATTATACAACAAAACAACAGCTTGAAAAATCCATTAAAATGATTTTAATCCTTTAACGAGTCACGAAAAGCGACTTGGAAATGCGCATCGCGGGGGTTGTATGCTGTGTTGTTCTGTTCAACAGAAGCCCGAAAATCCGAATCTGAATCCGAATCCGAAACCCAACCCTTAAGTCTTGAATTATTTTAAAGAGACCCGCGCGACTGTTGCAACAATAAACACGCGATATAACCAGGCTGCGAACAAGGATAACGATGGCAAGGACGATTGTCCTGGTGGGGTGGGTATCCGTATCCTGTGCCCCGGAAATCAAAAAACAAAAAAAAAAAACGAGAAACAGTCGTCGCCTGGTGAACAAATCGCTTTTGATACGCTTTGATTTTATTAAAATTTAACAATTTCGCTATGAAATTTATGAGGCCTTCGGGTGGTTCAGCTCAGTTTAGTTCAGTTCAGTTCGATTCCATTCAATTTGATTCGCTTTGGCTAAAAGGCTTACGAACCACTTGTTTTGGGCACTGTATCATTGATTGAGTTCACAATCAGGCAAAAATTACTTGACATTTTTGTCTGAGATACTTATCAAAAATGAGTCTTCGGGAAAGGGATTTAAATGATTTTAAGGGATATTTTTGAGAAAGTCTATTGAAGTCAATTGCTATGAAAAAGTATTTAAAATCTAAGGAATGTGTTTTAAATGACAAACAAATTGTTGTACTCCATAATAAATAAACTCCAAACAGTAAAAACAATTTATTATTTTTTATTTCTTTTTTTATTATTTATTTACTATATTTTTTCTATTTGAAATGGATGCATGCTATAATTAAAGTATACTTAAGAAAGATATCATTAACTTGTTGTTAAAGTTGTTGTTATCCAAAACTTTTTGCTAAACTATTACCCATGTCCTGGCAAATCACTTAAAGAAATAACTTGTGACCCTGGGGGAATTTGGAGGAGAATTCCGTGGGTCCACCATACTCCCCTTTTTGTGTGCAAAGTGACACAGCAGCTGAAAAAGTCTCAAAATTACATTAAAAACTAAAAGGACTTTGCGTCGGCACATGCGTTAGTGTGTGTGAGTGTGTGTGTGAGTGTTGGTGAGTAGTTTTTTGGCATACGAAAAACGTAGTTGACTCCTTTAACGGGATCTCGGGCTGCGTGTCAGGGAAAGTTTGCCAAATGATTAAAAGGACTCGGCAAATATGTGCGAGAGTAGTTGAGCAGTACGGTATAAAATATATAGTGGAGAGTCCTTTCCGCCCGGAGACGATGTAACGAAATAAATATAAAATGGCGTTGTAAGCAGAAGCACATTAGCGACAAGTTTCTACAGGGTCCTCGGCACACTGAAAGAAAAATGTACTTCAAAGTGTCATTCTAATCGGGCAATGTTATAAGTTTGTATTATCATTGCGTTAAGTTTGTCTTATAAAAATGTTATTCAAAAATAAAGTTGTATAAATCATATAGTAGATATAAAAAAGAATTGATAGTCATTATGTAATTAACATGGTTATACCAAAAACAATAATCAACAATTAAAATCATATTTCTAAGGATCCCAATATATTATTTATTGGCATGATAAAACTATTATTACAATGTGGAACAACAGAAATATTAAAATGATTTTTCTCTGTATATTTTCCTCCGAAGTGTTGCCCCTCTCCTGCATTTCCTCACATCCTTTGGATGCTAGTGTGTGTGTGTGTGTGTGGAAAAGTGGAAAATTTGTAGCTTCCGCAGCGGATATCCTGTTTCACACACGCCTTGTTCCCCCCTCCCCCCTCCGCCTCTTGCTCCTTTGATGAGCAAGGCGTGCAACTAAAAAAGTTTCGCGTTTTAGTGAAAATTATATTAAAATTTTGCGCTTGATGTAATTTATGTCATAAAAACCCCGAAAGAAAGAGCAAAATAAGGAAAAAAAAGAGGCGGCGACGCGCTAATGTTGTAAATGAATTTTCTACTCGAATTAATTTCCACGGAGCATCGCAAGACAATGCCCGACATACGAGCACATGATTTTTTCCCTATTTAAGATTATTTATTTAAAACCCCTTTTTTGGCCGGTCCGCCGTCAAAGGCAAATGCAAAGGCAAAGGCAAAGATCAAAGTGTGCTGACTCCACCCTCGAATGCAAATATATATACGCATTTAAGTACACACACATGGTTATCCTGGTTATCCAGGATGAGGGTTTACGCTTTTTCTGTTGAGGTTTTGGTCCACAGAGTGCATGCCAATCGAGAGGAGATCAAATCAATGAGCTCACTTTAATTGGGTGGCTTTGAAAACGCAGTTCTACAAGAAATTTCCATTGTCTAACAAACCATACAATTAACTTTCTTATTTTATATTGCTCATCAGAACTTTTAATGGCTTATTTAGCTTAGTTGATGTTTTTGGATAAATTGTAATACAAAATTTAAAAGAAAAACATATTTCTTTTTTATTTTGTCTTAAAAACAATGTTAATTATATTTGTTAACATAATTATTTGTTAAAATAATTTGACTAATATTATGTTCAACTTTTAATTTATCGAAGATAATTTGGCACTACTGTTGACTTCTGCAATGCTTAACCCTTCACTTGCCCTTAAACTTCAAAACCCCCCTCTTTGTAACATATTCTTTCATGTTCTTGCCCTTTCAACACTCCCATTCCTTCAAACCCGGGGGTGGATTTCGCCAAGCCCTCTAAAGGGTTAAACGCCGCTGCCTTTAAACAAGTTAATAAACTTGGCATCACCCTTGCCAAAAATAAATAAAAAATGCAAAAAAAAAAGGGAAAGAATGAGATGATTTAGTACATATAATCAAACATGCAGACAGACGCACAAAATTTGCACAGTCACCGGCAGTTGGGGGTTAAGGCGAGGCCTACAGCTCAATTTGCCAGACAAGAGCTAAACACATATATACAGAGGGAGATATTTTAAAGTCATTGTCCTTGTGGGAGTCCAAAGGAGTCGCTCCGCCCCCTTTTTTGGGCTGCTCCCCCCAAGGACATATTACAGCATTGATTCAATTTCATGTCAATTTACGTGTCAATGCGACACTAATACGCC